TTCTTATTCCATCAGTGTGGACAAGATGACTGGAGCAAGTGATTACAGATCATGGAAGAGATCCATGGAAATAGCTCTTACAGTAAATAAGAAGATAAGATTCATTCAAGGGACTGTGCTCATATCTACATATGCAGCTAATGCAGCTACAGCAGAACAATGGGACACCTGCAACTCTATGGTAATCTCCTGGATCCATGGTTGTTTATCTGACAATATTAAAAAAAATTGTCTTGTATGTTACCACTACTAGAGAAACTTAGATTCAGTTGGAAAAACGTTTCTCTATGTGTAATGGTTCCAGAAAATACAAGTTAAACAAAGATCTGTATAACTTGAAACAAAATGGAAATCCTATCAATGTGTATTACACTAGAATGACCAGTCTCTGGGAAGAAATTGATTCTATGAATGCTTTGCCTGTCATGTCTGAACCCACTCCTGAAGTCAGAAATTTGTTGAATGTTATAACCAAGTATCAGGAAGAAAAATAGGTTATTTCAATTTCTAAATTGTCTAGATGAACATTTTGGACCTATGAGATCTCAGTTGCTTATGGTTACACCCTTACCTACTGTTGAGTCAGCCTGCTCTATGTTGCAACAAGAAGAGAGTCAAAGAGAGGTTCTCTCTCAGACTAAATCTGATTCAGATATTTCAGCTGTGTATAGCAGAAATAGTGGTCAGAATAACAATGGGCAGAGTGGAAATGGGAATTTTTCAATTCCTCAAAACAGACTGAATATATGCAGTGCTTGTGGGGTTAGAGGTCACACTCCAGAGAGATGTTGGACTGTTATAGGATACCTAAGTTGGCATCATAAGTATAAAACTGGGTCAGTGAAACTTGCAGCTAAACCTCAAAGGCAAAAATGGAGCAACAAACCAGCTCCAAGCCTTGTTGCAGTTGCTCAATCTTCTCAGGGAGCAAGACAAACCAATACTGGAAATGTCACTCTCACTCAGCAACAGTTTGAACAATTGCTGAGACAAATCCCTTCATCTGGAAAAGGGAATGAAACAGATGAAGAATTGGACAGTGGTTTCTTAGGGATGGTGTCATGTCATACTGCAGTTTCAAGAGCAGATGAGTGGATAATTGACTCTGAAGCCTCAGACCACATGACTTCATGTTTGGAATGTGTCACTAATCCTAGAGCATGTCATCAGTCTCATATGAAAATCAACCTTCCTACTAGAGCTACAGCTAATGTTACTCATAAAGGCTTGGTTGAATTACCAAACTCCCTATATTTACAGAATGTTCTAGCTGTTCCAAATTTCATATACAATCTGTTGTCTGTAAATAAGCTCATGAAAGACTCTCAGTGTGAAGTCATTTTCAGCAAGACATATTGTGTAATCAAACAGTGACAAAGAAAATCAAAGGAATAGGGAAGGCAAGGAATGGTTTGTACTATTTGGCAATCAATGAAGACAACAACTTGGTGCTCTCTCAAGCATGCATGACTGCAAATTCAGAATCCAAACAAGTTCCATTTGCTGTTTGGCATCATAGATTGGGACATGCCTCCCGGGAAAACTTCAACACATTGAATGTGTGAAGAAAAGCATCACAAATAGCAGTCAAGTGTGTGCCACATATCCCATGGCAAAATTCACCAAACTCCCCTATGATCTGAGTGCTTCACATGCTTCAAAACCATTTGAATTGATTCACATGGATATTTGGGGACCCTATAGAGTTTGCACTAGAGGAAAATTCAGATATTTCCTAACAATTGTAGATGATTATTCAAGATCAACTTGGGTGTATCTGCTGCAGCAAAAATCAGAATCATTGTCCAAACTCAAAGCATTTCAGTGTTATGCTCAAAATCATTTAAATGCAACAATCAAGTTCCTGAGATCTGATAATGCTCTGGAATTTGAAGATCAGCATTGTTAGAAGTTTTTTAGTTTACTTTGCATAGTTCATCAAACATCTTGTGTAGACAGGCCCCAACATAATGCCAGAGTTGAAAGAAAGAATAGGCACATTCTTGAGATAGCCAGAGCCTTAAGGTTTCAAGCTGGACTTCCTTTGAGCTATTGGGGTTAATGTGTGATGACAGCATTTCACCTAACAAACAGGCTTCCCATTCCTGTTCTGCAAAACAAGACTCCATATGAGGTGTTGCACAACAAAGCACCTGATTACTCTCACTTGAGAGTGTTTGGCTGCTTGGCATTTGCTGCTAATCCATCTGGTGGCACTGACAAATTTCAACCAAGAGGTGTTCCTTGTGCTTTCTTGGGGTATCCAGCAACTCAAAAAGGATACAGATTGCTGGATGTGCAGACCAAAATATTGTTCATCTCCAGAGATGTAGTTTTTCATGAAACCATATTCCCCTTTCAGCTGAAATCTCTTGATTCTTATATGACACCTGTCCCACCAGTTCTCTCTCAGAAAGAAAATTTTACTCATACCTATCTTGATGAACTTTCTGAATATACAGAAAATAGCCAGCCTGAGAACAACCCAGAAAACACTACTCCTGATTCTCCAACTCATTTCTCACCCCAAAACACATACCCTACAACAAATCAACCTCAAAACACATCACCTAACCCAAATGAACCAGATATACTAGTCAGACACAGTACCAGACCCTCCAAAGAACCATACTGGATGAAAGACTATGTGCAACCTAGCAAAAGATCCGACAAACAAATATCAAATCTTGCTTTTCAGGCTGTTCAACCAGAATTTCACTATTTCATGACAAATTTGGTGAAAAGTGAAGATCCTGTCCTGTTCAAATCTGCTGTAACAGATCAAAATTGGGTTTCAGCCATGAATAAGGAGCTAGATCAATGTGAACAAAATGGAACATGGGAGGTTACAATGTTACTTGAAGGAAAAAGAACAATAGGTTGCAAATGGATTTATAAGACAAAGTATAAATCCAATGGAGAAATAGAAAGGCACAAAGCAAGGATAGATGTGTTAGGATGTAGACAGAAGTATGGATTACATGCACTCCCCAACTTCAACCCATATGCAGGCTTTTAAGAGACTTCTTAGGTACCTTGCTCGTACCACCTCTCAAGGAATACTGCTGGCTTGCTCCTCTGCTGCTCAATTAATTGCCTATTGTGATAGTGACTGGGCTAGCTGCCCCACTTCTCAAAAATCCACCTCTGGATACTGCATTCTGCTTGGCAACTCCCCTATTTCATGGAAAGCAAAAAAAAAACAAACTGTTGTAGCTAAATCTTCTGCATAAGCTGAGTATAGAGTCATGTCTCCTACAGCTTGTGAAATCACCTAGCTTAAATCTCTTCTCAAAGACTTGGGTATCTCTTACTTGGGTCATACTCTCTTATATTGTGATAATCAAGTTGCTCTTGCAATAGCTGCAAACCCTGTCCTGCATGAAAGAACTAAGCATGTAGAAATCGACTGCCATTATTTTAGGGACATGGTGAAGTCTGGAGATCTGATTACATCTCATGTATCTTCTAATGATCAGCTGGCTGACATTTTCACCAAGGGACTGTTTGTCACTCATCATCAAGACATCATGCTCAAGCTTGGTGTTGTCCCTTACTCCAACACTCAGCTTGAAGGGGGGTAATAAGGCTAGAGGTCATATCAGTCATTCTCATCAATTTCATATCCTCTGTATGACAGCAAATGATTAGCTAAGAATATTTTTGTTATTTGTGTACTGTTAGGATATTGCTAGGAAGCTTCCTTGTAAGCCGTTATTTTTGTCCTTTGTGATTTGATCTCTTATGGTTGTATATATAATCCTTGTACTGCTCTGAGTCTGTTAATGAGAATGAATTGATTATTCACTCTGCAAACCTTTTCTCTGTCTCTGTTTTTCATCCTCTTGCATCACCTTATTTCACTCTTTATGCAGCAACCATGCCTGAATGACACTAACAATTTAGTCGTAGTGGCATTCCTTAATACGAGACAGCTAGTTCAGGTGCATTCTTGGCCTGGCAGATAGAATTATTCCACATAAAGTTGCGGAATTCTTACCAAAGTGGCTACTTTCTTGATATGTTTCTCTTCTAAATCAAAGTTTGGCGTCCATTTCCGGATTGTTACTAGCTGTCACCAATCATCTACGATCCCTGAAAAAGTACAAATTCTATCATAATCATCATGATTATGTTTATAAACTTAACGAAAAGATTGGTGTGGAATAGCTCATAGGCAAGAATATATTTCTTTACCTCAAATTATGTTCTAACTGTAATCTTGCTTCTTTAGTGCCTTCCTGAGTTCTTGCTGGTATCTTGTGATTAGTGGCGAAGCCAAGAATTTCAAACCAGAGAACATGGTGTGATTCAGGCAGCAAATCTTTCTCTTAAAGTGGTATTTGGTACTTGGTAAAGCTCCTGCATTAGAAGGAATTGTTCCCAAACCATTTAATAAATTATACCCTCGTCAAATTTGTAACAGATGGCCAGGTGTAAGGGATAATGATCCCTCGATTTATTCCTTGATTTACACTTTAGGTTGATAGTAAAAGATATCTCTTGTACTTAGTTCATGTACCTAGACAAGTACTCTAATGTATCTAGTCATATTATATTGCTTACTCATGCTATATATACTCATGAATTTACATCAATATAATTTAAGGTTTCCAACATTCTCTTTCTCATAACTCTATCACCAGGTTATTAAATAAACTGATCATTTCAGTAGCTAGTATCTGTTTACAATTTATAATGTTTGTTTTCAAGTTTAAGAATACCATGTCTTGATTGCAGGAAAGATTATGAAAATAATAAGCATATACTTCATCAAGTTGCCTCATTTTAAATGCAATCATCTCAATTATCAATTATGAAACTAACATATGATCAATGAAGGCCTAATCAAATCAACATTATAAACTTCCACTTATCTAACAATAGCTGGGGGGTCAAACTCGCTCCCTCGTTCGACATATTAATATAATCAACTCAACTATATAGGTGGAAGATGATAACAAAGATTGGCGTTCTTAAAAATTCATACTATAAATAGATCAAGAGCTAGCAACCAAAAATGGCTCCCAATTTTGCAGTTCTTTGCACATCCTAGCAGCTCCTTCTTCGTTACACCGGCTTCTTCTACTAAAATTACTTGATTCAACTTCATCTACAACATTTCCACTACTTTCTTCCATCTCATTGTATAACTGTCCATCATTAACTATATACTCATCATCATTGGCATTGCCTTCATTGTTGTCGTTACCATCATAGAATTCATCTCCTTGGGAAGATTCTCGGTTGCATTCATCTTCGGCCCCACACGAGTTATCTAGGAAACGAAGCGTAAGCCTTCCATTAGTCCTCTCAGCCTTGAAACAACCCTGACTGGTGCCAACACTAACCGCCTTTATAACTAACCTCCCATCTTGTCTTTGAGATTCGACTTGAAATCCACCCGAACAACCACTCCTAAAGGTACTTATTGGTGGTGGGAAGCTACTGCTGCTCGTCGACCTCTCTTTGATCATAGTAACACAAGACATTCTAGGAGATTTTTCGAATTCTGACACGAAAGATGAAGAGATTAGTTCATCCCCACTATCACTGATGATGCTGCCAGTTTCACTCCCTAAGCTTTCTGTACACATCTCCAAGCTTTTCTCACTCAAAACTGAAGCTGATTTTTTGACAAGAGGATGAATATACTCTTTCTCCTTATCCTTGTCTCCCTCTTTCACAGTTTCGGAAATATGAGTTGGGTTTGTAAGAGTTTGCAAGAAACTCCAACCACCTAAATCACCATTTCTTGAGGTCTTCTTTGGGTTGATTATTTCACTACAAATGTCAGTCTTGTGGGAAGTTTGTTGTTGGGAATGTTAGTTGTCTGACCTTGGAGACCTAGGAAAACTTACAGTAGACAGTGAAATCTTGGATGCTGGCTGAGATAATTTGAACCCGATGATCCGTGGCTCGGCGAGCCATGGATCAAACTGTGTTTGCATCCCTTGGCACACACTTGTTGACATAGTGTTAAAACTGAATACAGGGGGAAAAAAACAGGGGGGGGGGGGGACAGAGTTGATCAAGGTTAGAAGCCTAGAAATTAAGTTTTGCTGATTTTATAAAGCAGAAATAAGAAGATATGAAGATGGAATTGTAGTAACAGGAGAAATGAGGAGAAAGAATGTTTTGGTGTGAAGAAGAAATGGAAGAGTTTGTTAATTTATAGGCCAAGATTAAGCACTGTAGTAGTGATAGAGAGAGGATCTTCCATGCCCACCAATACTTCTTTAATTTTTAGCTGTTGAAATCCACCTCACACTACATACATTAAAATAAAAGAAAGAGAATAAAGGAATAAAATTAAATTGGGTAAGAAAAATTTTAACCAGGATGGTTAATTCATAAATAGCGATTATAATTTGTAAATCACTCACTCACTCACACAAGGAAGACGCTAACTTATATAGATGTCTTTATTGAATTCATTACTACAATAAATATTCTTTGTAAAACACAGGGGGTTTTGTTATGTTAAGACTCTTGTCCTTGTGAAGATTTTATGAAACATTACAAATATAAATTGTTTTTTGTAAGGGCAATTTCGATAGAGATTTATGTGTTCCTCACAATAATAATTTTGAATTGTAGTTAGGTCATCTTGACTATACCTATGGACAATAATAATCGTACTTTTTTTTTTAATACATAATTTATGTTGTTGGTGGTGTGGGGAAATTGTATATCGAAAGGGTTTTGTTTATTTTATTGTTGTATCATTAAGGCATAAACAAGTGAAAAAACACATAGAAAAACCTACACTTTGTTTTTTTTTTCATTTAAAAGAGCTCAAATAAAAAAATAAAAAATAAAAATAAAAAATTTGACAATTCACTTGACCATTATTTTCCCTCCTTCCCTTGCACTCTATTTTATGTCCTAATCTCACATAGTTATTGCACCTTTTATTTCCACCCCTTATTCCTTTACATTTTGTTTAATAAATTATTTTTTGAAAAAAAAAATAGTCATGAAATTTAATAACACGCCAAGCCGCCAAGGACAATTGCAAAAAAATAAAAATAAAATAAAATAAAAAAATAAAATAAAATAAAAAACTTGAAAAGAAAAACAAAATCAACATCTAATTTTTCAAAACACATATTCATCCTATATAATTTTCCAAATCAAATCTCAACACTGGGAGAGAGAGAGAGAGAAGAAGAAAAAAAAAAAAAAAAAAAAACCTAATAATGAGACTTAATGTTTTCGTCTCGAATGATCAATACTAATCTTAGCATGATCTTTGGATCAAGAGTTACACAAGCATACAGCCAATCAAACCTCTTGAATGAATAGCCTGAATCATAACCTTAAAATGGAAGTGTTTCCCTTGATGTTTTCTTTCTTTTTCTCAAAAGAAGGCAACAAATGGAACAGAAAGCAAAGCAATCTTCCCTGATATTTTGGTTGAAAAGGGATGGATGCATGTTGTTGCCTTTAGCTTTTTTCTTCTATACGTTTCACTTACATATTGGCACATTGAATTGGCTTAGATTTGCATGCCTTTTTTACCATATTAAGGTATTTAGTCTCACAATCATATTTAGATTAAGTATAACTAATTTCTCTAATAAATAATTTCTAGCCTCCTTACTGGAGTCTCATTGTCAAAATACGAGAAAGTTAAGAATAAATAGAAAAGGGAATTTAAACTTTAAACCAAAATGATGTGTTAAAAGATTAGTGGTTTTCTCATTTCTCATTCTATATGTTGCTCGCCACATGACATGACTATCCATTATGAGGGTTACTTTGTTAATGTTATAGGGGTTTCTCGTTCAGTTTTATAGGGGTACATCATTAGTTTTATATAAGGTTTACTTGGTCAGTATAACAAGGGTTACCGGATCAGTTTTATAGGAATTACTTTGCTATTTTTATAAGTGGCCACATGGTGTGACTAGCCGCACATAAAGGTGGGCTCGGGCCGTGCCGGCACGCGGACGGCACGGGCCCGGCACGACGCCGGCACAGCCCATCACGGACGGCCACCGGCACGGCGGCCCACCTGTGGGCCGTGGGCCGTGCCGTGAACAAAAAAATTAGTTTTGGCACGGCATGCGGCACGACGGGCGGCACAGTGGCCGGCACGTGGGCCAGCACGCAAGCACGTGGGCTGGCACGCCGGCACGGCACGTGGCACGGCACGAGGTCCATATTTACTCACCATTATACACTATTGTACAAATTTTGTAATATCGAACTTCGTATTCCGTATAATAAATGAGGTTATTCACCACATATTGTACGATTTTTAATTAACATTAATTATTTGTATTATCGATTTATCGTACCGGCTCCCGGCATATAGTAAAATAAGTTATTCTTCAATTTTTTGTGTTTTCGGATTATCGCACTCGTAATTTTTTTTATTATATGCATTAGTAAAATTAGTAAAATTGTTTTTATTGTTTATATAAACTTAAACATAATTAGATAAATAATTTATATAACCTTAATTAAAATAAAGTTGCTCTAAACAAAATATATTAACATAACATGAACATAAATTAATCATATTATTTATATAAAATTAAGTTGTAGTAAAAACTATGTATATCGTTTTTTTATTTACATTTATTATTTAAAAAAATAAATAAATTAATAATAATAAAATTAAAGTGACACGGTTTGGCCCGCGGCCCGGCACAGCGCGGTCCGCCAGGCACGTGGGCTATGCCGTGCCGTGGGATGGGGTGTGCCAAAATTAGGCACGACACGGAACGGCCTACCGCGGAGCCGGCACGACACGACCCCCACCGCGGCACGGCCAGGCACGGCCCCCACCGCAACACGTCCAGGCACGGCCCGTTGCCCATGTTTAGACGCACACAAGACGCGCTGTATATGTATATATATGCAATGAGAATAGTGTATGTTCAACTAGCCTCTTAGACGGTTATTTAATTGAACTCTTTTTTTCTCCAATTTAAAGCCTTGATGGCTCAATTTTTCAAGGTTAATAATAAAAATAGTCTGTCTTTTAATCCAAAAACAGATACGAGTAATTAGTGCTGTCAAATTTCAAACCGAAACCGTTTAACAGCCCGAAACCGACCGATCCAAATGAGAACCGAACCGATTAAAAACCGATTTTGTAAAACCAAAAACCGGCCCGAACCGTATTTAAGTAAACCCGAAACCGAACCGATCCGAATAATGTCAAACCGTATAAGAACCGAACCCGTTAACAAACCAAACTGTAATCAAACCGAATCGAAAAAGAACAGAACCGTTTCTAACCCGAAACGTTCAACCGAAACCGTTAGAACCGAGGTAAAAACCGTTTACACCGAACCGTTAACAAACTGCAACCCGTTTGTACCGAACCGTTTATAAACTGAACCACTTACAAACCGAACCGTCTATAAATCAAACTGTAATTTCGACGTCACAATAACTCATCAAATCATGATTATGACACATCAATTAGTTGATTGAATAAGAAGCAGCAAATAATGTGATAGTAAAACAATAATAATTCATTAATACACTAAACTTTTATAATCTACGTTACTTCGTAATAAACTAGTAAGATCAGTATGACTACACTTGAAATAACATGAAATGTATTTTTGAAATCGATGCAAATTTGTATATAATATAAAGCTTAATGCCTAAATATGAAGTGATGAAGTCTCGGCTTGATATAAAACTTGTTAACCGGCAAAAGGTTAGCAAGTACTATGAAGCTTCAAACCAAAATCGTTTAACTGCCAGAATCCAAACGACCCGATTAAAAACCGACTTTTTGTAATAAAAAAACCGTTCCGAACCATAATTTAGTAAACGTGAAATGGAACTGATCCGAATAACGTTAAATCGTATAAAAGGCAAACCCGTTAACGAACCGAACCAAAATAAAACTGAACCAAAAAAGAAATGAACCATTTATAACTCGCAATCGTTTCCAACCCGAAACTGTTTGAACCGGTATAAAAACCGTTTACACCAAACTGTTAACAAACTGCAACCCGGCTGCAGCGAACCGTTTACTTTCCGAACCATTTACAACCCAAACCGAATTAAAACCGCTCAAGAATAAACCGAAACTGAATCGAACCGATAACTATTTAAACTGAACCGAAACCGACCCGCGAGACACTTAAACCGATTTAATACCGAACCGATTTCAAACCGAACCGAACCCGAACTGTCAAACTGTTTTGACAGTGCTACGAGTAATATATAAACAACACTCATATTTCATCCTGTACTGTTATTGGAAAATGTGTACGTATTTGTGCAACATCATTTTTGGCAATGGTGTATTTCTTTCCCTTAATCACATGAAACTACATTAATTTAGGGCCATTATGCTTAATACAACCCTATTTGCACGTGTATAGGTTCACGATAATATTATTATGAATCAGGTGTACATCCAATTAGTCAAAGAAGTAAGGTGTATAAAATATCACAAATGTTTAATTAAAGCCGGTGTACAATATTTTATTGAATGGCGGAAGTTGTGGAAACCAACAACTGCCAATTATATTGTCTCGCACGTGCAATCTCATGATTGCGAAAATAAAACTGCCAACAAATTACACTTTCTCTCTCTTCCTCATTCATTCACTCACCAGCTTCTTTCTCTCTCCTCGTTTTACTCTTAATTGGCGATTTCTCTCTCTAAAACTTCCAATTTCGAGCGTTTTCTTTCTCCTCCATTGTTGATTTTCGAGCTTTTTCTTTCTTCTCTTTCACTGGTGAAGTTGTTATTTGCTTAATTCAGGTTCGTTTACTTATTATTTTGAGATTTTTTTTAGTTTAAGTTGTTTTGATTCTTCGATTTTTAGGTTTTTTTATTTTGATTTTGTTTTCGATTTTCGTAGTGTTTGATTCTGCAATGGTGAAGAATAAGATTACAAAGAAGGCTGTAGATGTTGAAGAAGGTGTGTTTACTTAAATTTTTCATCATTTTTTCAAATTTTTCAATTGAACTTTCGCTTATATATGTCGA